ACCCGGGGAACAACATGTCAAAAGATGGCGGGACACTTTTTCGGAAGGTCTTGGCGACTTACGCCCTGGGCCGACTTTGGAGGGCGGGACATTTTAATCCTTGCTGGAACAAAATCCCATATTTCCCCGAGGTGTTCCTAGACGGCCTGGCTCCCAGGGTTGGCATAGAGTATTATATTGTTTATTATGGAGCCAATTTTTTTTTTGTAATTCTCCGGTGCAAAATTTGAAGGGCGAAATAGACTATCGTGTAGAATATTTTGTGAAAATTAAGGATGTGTTAAAGGTGTGTTAAAAGTGCGAAACGCCCCTCAAGGGAATTATATAAAATATTTTAATTGAACAGACGAGAGCAAATTATTAAATTAAATTAAAATGTAGATGGTTTTGACCCTTACGTAAGAATGTGTTATAAGTTATGCTAGCTATAAGTTACGATTAAACTAATGCAAAGAAAAACATCATTGAATCGATCGGAATTTGCTCTTAACTGGGTGACAGAGCGCACAAGCTCACAGAATACTGCATGAAAGGTGAAGACTGCTACCGCCAGCCGGCCGGAGGAAAAAGAAAAAGAGGGAGGGGAGGGGGGCTGTTTAATAAAGTTGGTGAAGGGTAGGTCTTAGCGATTTTTTCACCTAACTAGACCCCCTCAAAGTCGCCCCCTACGAACTCAACGGTATTATCCACGATGTCGTGCGACGCTCCGTTCAGGCTGGAGGGCATATGTGCCGAAAAAAACCAAGATGGCGGAGGACGTTTTTCGGCATGTCTTATTTGTTCTCTAATTATATGATATCTGAGAGAATTTTTTGCTGGGGCCGGCCTGGAGTGGGCTAGCCACTGCGGGTCGGGGTGAGGCTCCACGCGCCCCCACCTGGGGGGGAAGGGCCATACTGTGTGTAACTTAATTGCCAGTGTGCTTTGCCGTCCCCTGCTAATATGCCAAACGCGTTTGCTCGACTAGGTTCCCTGCTTCCTGCTTCTACCTGCTTGCTATAAACCCCACCTCCCACCCCTACCTTTACACCTTTTTACTAATAGGGTGAAGTAAGTACACCAAATGGTTTGCAAGGCCTTTATTACAGAGTACAAAGCACGTCCTACGGAATTCGCGCGGCTGCCTCCTCAGCATCGAGGAGGGCGTTGGCAGCGGCCTCGGCGGCGCTGATCTCATCCTGCTCAGCCAGCTGGCGGGCAGCGCGGGCTTCGTCCAGCCATAGAGCCGCCTCTACCGCCGCGAAGTGCCGCATCTGGGCGGCGGCCTCGGCGAACTCCACTTCAGCGCGGTGCTCGAGGAGCTGCTCGCCCTCACACTGCACGCAGAGGGTATAGGAGTTCGGGCACTCTGCGCAACCCCACAGGCAGCCCGGAGCGCCCTGCAGCGCGGCGCCGACGGAAGACGCAGCTGATGACAAAAAACAGGGGCCTGGTAAAGGTTCAAAGGGTCCAACAGTTTAAAAATCGTAACTGATGCATACGCTGCCACTTACAGGTTGAGGGACTGACAACGTCGGGCACCGACGACGGGCCAGGGGACCCGGAGCGGCCACCACCGCCAAGCTCACCGACCCACCGCCGGTCCGCAACGGGATAGTGCTGCGACGGCCCGACATCCTCGTCACTGGACACGTCCTCCGGGACTCCGCCCAGACGGGCTACGACCTCCGCGGATGGGTCCACCCACTGAGAGGCCCTCGGGTCCCAGACCACCAGGAGAACGTGACCCCCGTCGCCCCAAACGCCGGGACAGCTGCCTACAAATACCTCAATCAGCACTGCACCAAGTCAGCCACGACCCCCCCCCC